TGGTTGTTGTAGCCACCAGACGTAAAAATGGTTGTTGTAGCCACCAGACGTAAAAATGGTTGTTGTAACCACCAGACGTAAAAATGGTTGTTGTAGCCACCAGACGTAAACCTGTTTCACACTATTGACAGTTATATTTCTTCTGTTTGATTTTATGTCAGTATGTTTGTATCGTTTGCAATATATGACCATACATTATAATGTTTATCGTTGATAACAAATATCCCTGATTTATATATTTCAATATCATACTCAAATAGCGTTTAACAACGGTAGTGAATATAAAATGTCCGTATAATGGTTTTATCGTAGAATGATGTCGGATGGTGGCACGTACTGGAATAACGTTTACATCACTCCCTGGTGTCGTGTAGGCGCCTACTGTGTAGGACTGTTCCTCGGGTTAATCTTTTACAAACGACCAAGAAAAGCATTCAGCAAGGTAACATCTTTTGTATTTAGTAACGTTCGATCGGTTACAATATAAGGACAACGGCGACATCTAATAAAATGTGAACGTATGTGAAAAAAATATGTATTTTCTTTATGACATAGCACTGTCGATAACAGATATTAAAGTTAAGATGTACCGATTTCAATTTAGAACGCCGTAACATTAAATGTATATATTTACATCATATATCAAGTTGGGTTTTTTTTTTTTTTTTTTTTTTACAATTTTGCGTATTTGACAGGTGATCGGTTTCGTTGGATGGGCTATTGCCACCGCCGTTGCCCTCACTTTGGTTTACTCTACATATTCCGCCAACAAAGAAGGCGGGGTTGCCTGGACCAATGTACAGAACGCCATGTACGAGGGCGTCGGCCGACCAGTCTGGTCGATTTGTGTGGCATGGGTGATTTTCGCCTGTCACAATAACATGGGAGGTAAGTGTAAACCATATAATCATACGTCCTTTTTATGTCTGAAGTTGAATTATGTTTTCTTTTCATACCCAATATGTATACCTATTGATTTTTAGTTTGTCACAACATATTCGACCGGAATATGACGAGGAAAAATATTGCTGCATCACAGTCAACAAATGTAAAATAAAGTATGAGCTGTGAAGTTATTTGGAACAAAACTAACGTTTTCCTCAAAATATGAATAGATAATTACGTAAAGAAGACAGAAAAAGTAAACAATAGTAAAACAATGGAAATTCCGATGTACTTATAAAATGTACAGTTACATCACGTTTCACGTATCAAATATACACTATAACATTTAGTGGATACTTTTGACGTTCAGTTAAAAGGAATTTCAGTTTTTATTCTGATCAAGTAAAGTGTTGTCTCAGCGTTGATGAAACTATTAAGTGCTTGAAAATTACGTTCACAAAATACTAAGTGTATGGTATACTAGTCTTTAGAGAAAAGTATTGAGGACGTGCTTGATAAAGCAATAAAGTTTGTTAATATCATCCAAACAGATTTTTATAAAGATAACATCAACTAAATTGGCTGCAAAAATATTTTTAATTATGCATAATGAATTCAAGAAAACAGTACAATATTTTTTACACTGAATACTTATGTAAACGTTAAAAAGGGCAATTTCTTTAAATCATGTAAATGCCAGTAGATTAATGTTGTACATTCAGTCACCTAACATGCTGTTCAATTTTGGAAGGTCCCGTGAATTCGATCCTGTCTTGGAATGGCCTAGTTCCATTGTCCCGTTTGTCGTATGCCGCCTACCTAATACATCCTATGATGATGATCTTACATGTCTACTCCAAACGGTCCTTAATGTACCTATCAGATTACGAAATCGTAAGTTTTTAAAATTCAAAATTTTGGAATATAATTAATTGTGCGTGATAATCACGGTTTAAGATCTTGTTTGATGATTGAACCAATACAAACGAAAGAACCTCACACTGCCGTGGAAAAGAAATGAAATACTTTGATACAAAGCCTTTTTTACTTACTTACCTTTGAGTAACCGGGGCATGGTCAGAATAGGTATGGTTTGCCCAAATCGTTACGTCATCAAAGAAAGCACGCGTACTATCTTAATGTTAAGCTTCACTGATAACTGAGTTGTTTATTGATCAACGTCACACTGTTATTGCATGTGACTATTAGATAAATAAAAGATTGTCAATTATGTCGTTTGACTACCAGTGTTAAACAGATCATGCAATCGTTGGTAACAGTTGTAACTGAAATTGTTTAAAGGGAATGCATGTACAGTGGTTCTAGATTATATATACTGTAACAAGTAAATTGCTTCAAGGTTTATATAGAGTGTATCTAGTTACTGCATGGCCCAATGTTACTGATCACTTCAATTTCCATGCAATAATTACACGTGGAAATCTCAAATAAACCATTAGTAACCAAAACAACACGTTAAAGTTTCCTGACATTTTTTCTAACATTTGACTTCTTCGTTTTCAGATTTACCTTTTCTTGGGTCACACCACTTTGTCATTCCTGGGTGCATTTATAGTGTCTGTCGCATTCGAAGCACCCTTCATGGCTCTGGAGAAATTGATTATGTAGAAGACTCAACATGCTTCATGTTCGTGATCGATCTGTGTCTGTCTTTCTAAATCATATATAAAAAAGTCTTTACGGCCATTTATCATCACTAATATAGCTTATCAACAAATTAAATTAAGGGGAGATATGCTTGTAAATAAATGCAGTTAGACATTCCCTGAAAACACGTTGGACTTTTACGTGGTTATTGATAATGCAATTTCCATAACGACCCACTCTCTAGTTGAGCTGAACGATATCGTTATGATATGTGATATACGTCATCAGTTCCTAATATATAGAATTGTCAACGTATCCCAAGGATGTATGGCACTTTAATATCTTTACCATTCATAACAGGTGGACAATATTGGCCTTGTTACGTAATCGTTGTATGTAAAATTAGTAACGAAAAGTTATCAGTAATTTCATCAGGTGAGGAAAGTACCATGGAAAGAAAACTTACTGGTGGAAAAAGAAACATCTCCTGTCTTTGTTATTACAATTAACAGTGGGACTACAAAAACGTGTCTGAAAGATCCAAGTCTCATTTTCACAAAAATAGAAAAAAAAATGTACGTGAATTGTCAATATCAAGTGGGTATAGTTTACAGTAGCATGTTAGTAAGTAGTATTCAGTTGACCTTCACCGACAAGAAGCATACCACAATATATTCCTTTACAACATGTAGTATTGTGTATTTCGAAGATGAAATTCTGTATTGTTTGTAATATTCGCAGGGTTTTAATTTCGCTATTTTCAAGGTTAATAAACATAGCGCAAAATCAATTACCCCTGAAATATTTTCACTCTAATCCAAATCTTGGAAAAGTATAGTATTATCCCTGAAATTTAATGACGTCAACTTGCCCAATCCGGGACATCCGCGAAATAATATTCCTTCAAAATTAAACAGTCTTACAAACCAATAATTTAGGACAGATCTGATTTTAAATTTATTTTCATAAGTTTGTTGGTTGAAGTTTCAAGTTTTAGCGTTATTTACGGACACTCTAACCTTGATTACGAGTATGTACATTATATTGGCAAGGTACTTTTATCAGAATAACGAAGTGATTATTTCTACGCACCAGTTCACAAAGTGAACTTAATCAATAGATCTGTTGTTTGAACATATTACGCTTGCTATATTGACAACATGGATTCGGAATCTTTATTTGTGTTTCTTTTTGTTCATACATTTGTTCACGCATGCTCCATGAGATTTCACAAGCAGTAACACCAATAACATGTATAACGACATTTGGTATCACTGAATACCAGTACTCGTTATTATAACTTCTACACATACACAAAAACACACACGTAACTGTTTATAAGATACTTCATCCATTTCAATATATATTAGGATAGTAAATGGTCACCCTGAACACATGTTACTTAAGCTCCGCGCCTCGAGGGAGATGTACTTCCTTACACACAAGTGATAGTAAGTGGATATTTTTATTATGAAACATTATGATGTATGACAATGACGCACATGCATTACACATCCACGTGTTTTCAAAAACTTATACCACACTGTTATTCACGAATTACACAAATATAGAAGTCCGAATACATATATTTGAACAAATTTTAATACTAAATCATATATGCTCCACAAAATGTGATCAATGCAACATTGTTTAATTTAGTCTATAAATCTATTGTATGTAATAAGATTTTATATTCTACATTTTGTATTGTATAATGTAGTCATGAAATTTTCACTTCAACCCGCTTGTTTTTCTTATTTAATTTCTATGTATTTATTACATATAAAAATAGTTTCCATTGTTGAAGTGAAAATTTATCTTCGCTTTTGTATCAATTTCGGATCAAATCAGAAATAAAGGGATGGATAACATCACAAATTTATGCTTTGTTTTATGTAATTAATGGGCCATGTCATTGTTTACATTGCAGATAGAAGACCTGTTAGTAAACAAAAATATTTGTTTTTTTGTACATAAAATTTCATGATATTATCACCATATTGCTTGTTGAATATAATAATATGTTATACACAACATAGTTTCCAATTCCGTTGTGGTCATAAAACAGTATCTGATCAAACGGACTGATAGATTATAGGAAATCAATATCAACTTTCAAAAATCTATACAATAAATGCAACATTATGTTTTAGGGAAACCGAATCATGTGACTTCTAAAATACATCAGAATAGGTAGGTACGTGCATGCTGTAATGTATTTTTGAGAAAATATTTACAATAACTTTTCCTTGGTGCGTACACAGAGTGATTTCAAAGGTAACAACACAGAATATAGTACCACTCAAAATCATTTATAGATTGCGTCTTTGCGGTCAGAACGAACCTTTTTCTAATATCGATGATATTGTACGTACAATTTTCCATTTCTAACTTTCTTCAGTTACCAATAACAATAGCTTATTCACTTTTCTGTACGTATACATAAATGATATACCGAATCATTTACTTTTTTCGAAAAAAATCTGAAAATCAAAAGACTGGAAAATTCAATTAAATAGTTCAAGCACTGATTCCCTGAGCTGAAAGTTTCCTGCGAGAAATTCTTCAACGACAGCTTCTTTGGAGCCAGTGTTAGGTGTTTTAGACTCGCCTTTTACCTGGCTTGTGGATTTCCGAAATCTATCTTCAAATGGGAGTTGGCCTTGAATGTATTTTGTTCTAAGATGACCCCAGTCATTAACCATCTTGTAATATCCTAGGTTTAGCCTTGATTTTATATCGTCCTCCCACTGACTCGGTCCAGCCTCGTAATTAATGGTTAAATTTGTAACGAGTTTTAACCATTCGACGGAAGAATCCTCAACATCAATATCTAAAAAATATCAAACAATATCATTTTTCGTTCTTTTGGTTCATCTATCATTATTGTGAAATATAAGATTAATTCACCAGTAATCAGGATAAATCGTCCGTTTACGTTCAATTTTCCATGGAGTACTTGATTATAGTGATGTTCCCCATTAAAACCCCGCCAAAAACCAAGAAATTTAATAACTATAACAATTTGAAGGGAGTTGTATGTAACTTTAGATTACTTAATAAACCAAACACTATTGTAGTCTGTTTAATCAAATATGTAAGCGGTTATTTCATTTAAAATTAATTCGCGATTAATAATTCTAAGTAAAGACCCCATAAGCCATTGAAGTGATGTATAAAGTCCTATATACCTGGTTGAAATGCCAGATCAGATGTCACCTCACTCCAGAAAATATCAAACCTTTGCAGCAATGTGGCACTGTAATCAAAAGGCACAACAACGATAAAAAAAAGAACTTATTTCAACAAAACCGTAAGTCTTACTGTATTACTATACAGATTAGATACTGTGGTGATAAAGTTTTACTGTAGTACTATACAGATAAGATACTGTGTTGATAAAGTCTTACTGAAATCGATACAAATTAGATACTGTGGTGATAAAGTCTTACTGTAGTACTATACAAATTAGATACTGTATTGATAAAGTCTTACTGTAGTATTTCACAGATTAGATACTGTGTTGATAAAGTCTTACTGTATCACTATACAGATTAGATACAGTGTTGGTAATATCTTACTGAAATCGATACAAATTAGATACTGTGTTGAGAAAGTCTTACTGTATCACTATACAGGTTAGATACTGTATTGATAAAGTCTTACTGTATTACTATATAAATTAGATACTGTGGTGATAAAGTCTTACTGTAGTACTATACAGATTAGATACTGTGGTGACAAAGTCTTACTGTAGTACTATACAGATTAGATACTGTGTTGATAAAGTCTTACTGTATTACTATACAGACTGTAGTGATAAAGTCCTACCGTAGTACTATACAAATTAGATACTGTGGTGACAAAGTCTTACTGTAGTACTATACAGATTAGATACTGTGGTGACAAAGTCTTACTGTAGTATTATACAAATTAGATACTGTATTGATAAAGTCTTACTGTAGTACTATACAGATTAGATACTGTAGTGATAAAGTCTTACTGTAGTACTATACAGTTTAGATACTGTGGTAATAAAGTCTTACTGTAGTACTATACAAATTAGATACTGTGGTGATAAAGTCTTACTGTATTACTATACAAATTAGATACTGGGCTGATAAAGTCTTACTGTAGTACTATACAAATCAGATACTGCGTTGACAAAGTCTTACTGTATTACTATACAGATTAGATACAGTGTTGGTAATATCTTACTTAAATCGATACAAATTAGATACTGTGGTGACAAAGTCATACTGTAGTACTATACAGATTAAATACTGTGTTGAGAAAGTCTTACTGTATCACTATACAGGTTAGATACTGTATTGATAAAGTCTTACTGTATTACTATATAAATTAGATACTGTGGTGATAAAGTCTTACTGTAGTACTATACAGATTAGATACTGTGTTGATAAAGTCTTACTGTATTACTATACAGACTGTAGTGATAAAGTCCTACCGTAGTACTATACAAATTAGATACTGTGGTGACAAAGTCTTACTGTAGTACTATACAGATTAGATACTGTGGTGACAAAGTCTTACTGTAGTATTATACAAATTAGATACTGTATTGATAAAGTCTTACTGTAGTACTATACAGATTAGATACTGTAGTGATAAAGTCTTACTGTATTACTATACAGATTAGATACAGTGTTGGTAATATCTTACTGAAATCGATACAAATTAGATACTGTGGTGACAAAGTCATACTGTAGTACTATACAGATTAAATACTGTGTTGAGAAAGTCTTACTGTATCACTATACAGGTTAGATACTGTATTGATAAAGTCTTACTGTATTACTATATAAATTAGATACTGTGGTGATAAAGTCTTACTGTAGTACTATACAGATTAGATACTGTGGTGACAAAGTCTTACTGTAGTACTATACAGATTAGATACTGTGTTGATAAAGTCTTACTGTATTACTATACAGACTGTAGTGATAAAGTCCTACCGTAGTACTATACAAATTAGATACTGTGGTGACAAAGTCTTACTGTAGTACTATACAGATTAGATACTGTGGTGACAAAGTCTTACTGTAGTATTATACAAATTAGATACTGTATTGATAAAGTCTTACTGTAGTACTATACAGATTAGATACTGTAGTGATAAAGTCTTACTGTAGTACTATACAGTTTAGATACTGTGGTAATAAAGTCTTACTGTAGTACTATACAAATTAGATACTGTGGTGATAAAGTCTTACTGTAGTACTATACAAATTAGATACTGGGCTGATAAAGTCTTACTGTAGTACTATACAAATCAGATACTGTGTTGACAAAGTCTTACTGTAGTACTATACAGATTAGATACTGTGTTGATAATATCTTACTGAAATCGATACAAATTAGATACTGTGGTGACAAAGTCTTACTGTATTACTATACAAATTAGATACTGTGTTGATAAAGTCTTACTGTATTACTATACAGATTAGATACTGTGTTGATAACATCTTACTGAAATCGATACAAATTAGATACTGTGTTGATAAAGTCTTACTGTAGTACTATGCAGATTAGATACTGTGGTGATAAAGTCTTACTGTATCACTATACAGATTAGATACAGTGTTGGTAATATCTTACTGAAATCGATACAAATTAGATACTGTGGTGACAAAGTCATACTGTAGTACTATACAGATTAAATACTGTGTTGAGAAAGTCTTACTGTATCACTATACAGGTTAGATACTGTATTGATAAAGTCTTACTGTAGTACTATACAGACTGTAGTGATAAAGTCTTACTGTAGTACTATACAGATTATATACTGTGTTGACAAAGTCTTACTGTATCACTATACAAATTAGATACTGTGGTGACAATATCTTACTGTACGATGATTTTTCGATGAATGCTTTGGATGGGAATCTTCCCTCTTATAACGACCAAGTCTTTGTCGTCGTTATTAGTGTGAGTCACTGTGTCACTATTAGAGTAACAACTCATAACTTGAACGTCGTCGTTTGACTCAAAACTCCCCACGGGCTTCCGGTTATGGTTTAAGTTCAATTCTGTCACTTCCGGTATCAACTGCACTACGAATCCCTTAATGGTCGTACCATTTGTTGACGTCACATTGACTGAAAGAAAACCAATGTTAGGATTCATTACATATTTGCAAGTGTTATATAAAGATATATCTCATTAATAAAAGCGTTACTTTTCTCTAACTTTTTTTTTGTTATTTTCACTCTAATATTTTAGATATAAAAATAATAGACACATTTGTGAAACAGATTTGTTATTACCAAGATACTTTTGAATTGAAAGTCGTATTGTACCTTTTTTTACACAGCAGTGTTACGTGAAGGGGTCGTGTTGGTGCAGGCGGTAAAGTGTTGAACTACGAAAAAATATATAATTTCATGTGAAGACCGAGGTCGACGCTTCTTACGTGTGGTGGTTTCTTATTTTTTTTTAGAAAACTGGAAAACGGATCGCCCTGTACCGATGTACCGATGTGCTTTTTTTAGTGAGATAGTGTTATTCGAATCGCTCAGGACGGCATGAAACGGGCCAGCTGTATGATGTTCTAGGGGTAGCAACCAGGTCATGACCCTAGCTGTTTAAGTGGCGATTGACCAGCAATAAAGATTAAATATGCGACAATCTATATTTTCAGTCAGTAGATTTACTGTCAATAAGTAGCACATGCTGACAGGTGTCAACAAGAGGCCATCTGGAATTCCTGATATGACACTGGTTGTCGATAGTACTTTAAGCAAAATAAACACATCAAAAATACAAAGTTATATCCCCATTTTCTCGGTATCGTGTGAATTGATATGATAAATATGATTTTGCATGGCTGAGATCAAGTCTCATACATAACTAGATTTTCACTCACCTGTGATGTCGTAATTCCCTCCGGCTTTCGTCAGAACTGTTCTGATGATGTAAGGGTTATGTGACATCTGTGACCTTACACCATGTCTTGGAAGACGATGTAAACAAACTGAGTTGACTTTCGGGGCACCTGTCCCGTATCCACAAATACTGGAAATGGTCCCCACAAAAAGCAGAATGATAGCACGCGGCCACATGTTTCAGACATTAAATTGTCTCCCTTTCAGTATTATTGGCGATATCGAGATTGTATTCACCCCATCAACGTAGACTCTAGCAGTGTAAGTGACAGCAAATTAATGCACATCGTGTTGTTAGATATACGTGTACTTGATTTGGGTAGTCCACGTTTAGGTTAAAATGTCGCTTTCTGCCCAGGGGTAAAGACACATTGATCGATCACAGCGTTCGCTAATATACACATGTGATATACAGCTGATCACCAAATTGTTGAAGATTACCACTTTGATATACATATAACTAATTTTAAGATAACTCTAATTCTTTTTTTTTTAATTAATTCAAATACTTAATAACACTGTATGAAGTACCCTTTTGGGGTGTGTTAAAATTCTGAACATGTTGAGACAGTTCATGTATATAGGACTTAGGCAATAGATATCAGCAACCGTTTTGTAATTGACCTTGGCCTGTTGACATATATTGAAAGAACACCCGTCGTTCTGTACCGGTTCTTCTACTTTTCGAACATTGTCCTCTTACCTCAGACTCATAGGTAAATCCGGACCGGGCATATACACACGGAGATGTTATTAGCTTTACATATGACTTTGCTGATTCATAAGTATGTGAGGAGAATCATGTTACCATCATCATTAATCTGTCCTCCGATATGTCCTCAGCGTCTAGATAGCACTTTTTGTTATTTCAAGGCAGCGGAAAAAATAATTTCCTTACCAAGTAACTAAAAAGTAAGTTTTTCACAGTTCGTTATAGAACATTTTTTTATTATAAAGTATCATAAACTTCATCAGTATAAAACAAATCAATTAAAAAGTGAAATGTGGTATTACTTAGTAATTATAGCTCATAATACTGAATTGTTCTGAACATAAATAAAGGACTATTTTTTTTAAACAATAAAATAAAAACACTTGAGACTATCTATATTCGTCGGATCAGTTGTATGGTGTTTATTACTTTACGTATACACAGAAACATAAAAACCTCAGATCTTGATTGTGTACATGAAACAAACCACAGACATACGTGATTTCAGGGAACATAGTGGATAACTGGTACTGCCACAGGAATCGGATATTCTATGTGTGAAATACAGCTATTATGATACTAAAACAGCAGAAATGGTATACAAGATATATAAGTAGTGATATATCAGAAGAGCAGGTCACCTGCCGCCACGAACTTGTTTCGTGTTCATCAAATACTCGTTGCGTCTCGGTAAAAATGCATCAAACGTGTTCAGAAAGCATTCTTGTTTAACCACAATAATTGAAATTTATGATGACAATGTGTTTGGCTGGCCAATATAGCATTTGTATTGCAGTTTGCACGACGCAGCCATTTTCTCATTCCCGCCATATAGTGACGTCACGCAATTTACAGGTCCGTACAGAGGAATATGTTTTGCTTATTGGTAAAAAATATATCAAAATGTTGTTATCACCTGACGAAACAAAACATTAGGAAGGGAGGTCACTCTAATAAGTTTGATTGCTGGAATTTTGAAATGACAAAAAAGTATATATACGTGTGTATATATAGTGATAATTTTTAAGGACGCGCACCTTTTGAAAATGGTTACACATATTGATATAGCATTTATGTATACATTTGTCACATTTCGTAACATATATAAGGGGTTCTCTTTCCATCAGGAAGCTTTAACATTATTATTATGTTATCAAATTTAAACTATTTCCTTATCAGTTTAACATATGGTAAATTATTAAACATTACAGCTTTTATATACATCTACAGTTCTGTCTTGTTCAAGCATTATCAGCTTGTATTCATTTAAACATACAATCAGTCGTTCACACTTGTCTACATGTACCTGGCGCGTGGTATATGCTGTAGTAAGTAACTGTATGTGTTATATCAAATTGTAAATGATGTATACACAATAACAATCAGTAATAGAGTTGGCACACAATATTATAAAGTTAATTACAAATTGAAATCATAAGACTTAGCAGTGACATAATAACGTAATGATATAGATTAACAACATTTCTATGCCCTAACTATATTTCTCATCATATGTTAATATTCTGAGTTCTGTTTCACAACTGACAATGTACACAGTTTGTTGACAAGTTCCTCCGTGTTCACAATAAAAACCGTTTGATGACAATTGTCTCTGTGTCTACAACACACAATATACATAAATAATATTATTGATTTACATTGTAAGGCTGCAGACCTCGTTTCATCAAAATCTGTTTATATTCACTCAAGTTACGAATATTATGTTTCATAGTCCAATGGCAATTACACTTTAAAGGGCCATAACTCTACCATCATTACCATCGATGCGGTCCCATCTAAGAGATCTTATTAAGATAAAGCTGTACAAAGGATCACTGTACAAATGTAGGTCGACATGCTCACGTGACCTAACATTATTGACGTACATTCTCTGACTTAACGACAATGGCGACAGAGACGATTAATGTATTGAAATTCAAATAGTGTAGGTTTTTTTTTAATCACATTTCATATCAATCTTTTTGAATGCTTTGAACATCTATTGCAGCTACGGAGGATAGTTGGGGAGCTGTAACGTTCCTTGTAACATTTTGCACTTATTATGTTAAGCAAGGAACAGTCGGATATCATGTGTGGTTATATAGTGAAACAGGGAACAGTCGGTATGGCTGTACGGTAATTATATTTCGTGTTCTCCTAATGACGCAGTTTTATTACGAAACTATGGTGGCCGATTCGGGACAAGCGAGATTGCGATATTACGATAGAACGATGCGATATCACGATATCACGATGCGATACCACGATACCGCGATGCGAGACCACGATATCGCATCGTGCTATCGTAGTATCGCATCGTTCTATTGTAATATCGCAATCTCGCTTCCCATTAAACGAAGCGATATTACGATGTCCCGAATCAGCCACCATATGAAACATCTCAAGCAAATTTATGAACTGTTGTCGACCTTGATATGTCTTAAGTCATCGTTGTTTCGGTGTAAAATAATCATGTTGATTCTCAATGTAGAAACCTTACATGATCAACGGAATATTGTAACTTTGCTGAGATAAATTCAGTTTTCATTGTTTATTACTGTCAACCAAAAGGACTAGCGGGACAAAAAAAATTACCACGAAATGTCAGGCACGTGGTACGATATGAGGCGTTAATCCGTTAAAAATAGATCTGACTCATATTTATAAATAGATTGATACTACAACATAGCGATATTCATGTTTGAAAATTGCTGCAAGACAATTGATAAGCAATGCGATATACAACTGTTTAATAGTTACATGTAATAGTCAAATAAAACCAGTGTAACATCAATCGATCTAGTCATCAGTAAATAAACGAGTTCATATCACTTAATATCCATAAAAGGTTTTACAAAACGATATTTACAGGATTTACCAGGAAATTACGGCGAACCAATTATATGCAATACATAAATATTTTGTTGCTAATGCTATGCTCTATGAAATTCCATTCAAACAATATTATGATCACTATTAAAGTTTAGGAAAAGTATTCTTTTTTTCCCATTCAAGAACTATGTATACACACATGTAATATTCATATACAATATGAATGTGTTTCAGTCGTCGCCATTCCGGCGTCTATATTAAGCTTTCTTCTCTATTTTCGATAAATCGTAATAAAATTGAATTGCATCTGTATTGCCATGCCCCTTCAGGTTTCCCGCGTTAGGAATGCGACCAATCTCTGTGAAACCCATGCTTCGCCACAACCCTACGGCTGCTTCATTTGTTACAAACACCAGATTGAATAGTGACGCTTGGTAACCAAGATCGCGAGCAACCTGTAGATAGTGTCGGGCAATGAATTTCCCGATTCCTAATCTGCGAGCCGATTTCTTAACGGCAAAACCGCCATTACATATATGTGAACATCGGTCTGGAAAATTAGGTTTCACGTAAAAACTTGCTAATACCTCTGAGGAATTTACGTCACGGCACACAAATACATCGTGTGACGCGAAGAATCCCCGGAAATCCTCAACGTCAGAAAGGTTTTCCTGTGGATAAGAATCGCCCTCCTCGTTCACAATGTACTTTACTATGGAATGGACCTGCTCCTCATCTTCGTCTTTGTACCAATCCAAAATAACTTTCCTTCCGTCCTTGAGATGCCCTTCAACTGGAATGTAGGGCAAAATAACGTCGGATTTCTTTCTTTTTACTACGACCGCCATGTTATCAGGACTGTACCTGTATATGAAAATAAACCAATCTATGATAAAACATTACAAAAATAATATTGTAACGTAATGCATAATGTCATATAGTGTTAAAATGCATAACTTCGAAGTACTACATACCTTGTAATTCGTTAAAAAGAACGCCTGGTAAACAGGTGTGACGTCATACCAAAGGAGCAACATTTCTAGTATGACTTACGTCAAGTTAGTTTCAACTCCATCTTTTAATCTCTCAGTCAAGATATTCTACAGTTTGGGATGTACAAGCGCATTATAAGTGATTATATCATATTAACGATATCAGATTACTCAAGTCCTCAATTTCCGTGACGGTGAAACAATGTAGAAGAATAGAAAGATACTTGCACTGACATGTCGGCATAGTAGACAACAAGAAACCGGGAACAGCTGTATAATTTCAATTTACAAATAGTTAAAATTCTTGTAGCAAAAGAATATTTACAAGAAAATAACAACAAAAAAAAAAAAAATGTCAACATAACCAAAAACCAAACTCAAAGTCCATATAACTAGGGCAAAATATGAACAAAAGAAAGATTTACACGAAGACCCTGTAAAAGTTCAAGGAGAGTGAGACCATGTGTTCCGGAAGAGAAAGCGTCTTCTGCTTCATCTACCCACAATATAAACCTTGGTCAATCCAATTTAGTATAAAACGACGGGACCAACAGGCAAACCAACAAGCAGTAAAAACGTCAAGCTGCATATGACACGAAGAAATATAATATTTCTCAATGAGATCGCTTTGGCGATCATAAAACCTCCTCATAATTCTCATCAACCGGTATTCTTTCAAGCCCTGTGCTATGAGTTTGTCCGTTAGTTGACGATTTCTTCCACGAAAATCGTGATCATGGGAACAGGCCCTTGAATACCGAATCAACTGCGACATATAAGTACCATAGATTGGGAATGCAAACATCAAATCATCCACACAAATTACATTTAAACGTCCGTGTATCCGGTATGTTTTTATAGTGCCGGGCAAACTCTGAAATGGCTGGGACACATAATGTTGATTCCGGATTTAATTACAGTCACTTGATTTTTCCCAAAGCAATGGTTTTTAACACTGAGAATAATATTAAGAAAGCAATAATAATAATACAGTATTAATTATAATATGAAGAAAGTTTATAACTAAACTATACTGGAAAGCGGCGTTGTTGTGATGCGACGTGTTTCACATTTTTTCTTATTACTGTGAGATACGGCAATGGTCATTGATACACGAACGTAGCTTTATCGATATAGGATTGAACAGAGTATTCTTGCTAAGATGTATTATTATATACCTTTTCTATGTATATATTTTGGTACTGGAGGAACAATTTACAAAGTACTTGTTTAAGAATCAAAAGAATAGGACAAACGTAATGCATCGGAGATTGTTAATTAATGAGTTTTCTTCTTATAAGATATAATTGAAAAGTAAAGTTTAGATTTCAGATAATCATGTTACATTGGTATATATCAAAACAATGTTGCTTCACAGTTTCTCCTCACAAATGGGAAAGGGAGGTAATCATGTCAAGTCTCTTTTATTTTGATTTTAATTAAGACACAGGTCTTTCAAGCGTTAGCTCTTACTAAAACTTTTTTCATAGATTAAGCAAAATTTATAGATTGTTGTTTTACCTGCAGTAAAATTAACAGAACTTGTCACAGGATATGTATGACAGATTATGCAGAACTTTCATCTCAACCCGTCTAAGAGCAAGTGGGCTTATGCCATAGTGTAACGTCCTAACACAATGACCGAACACGTGCAGGACACGAGGATGGAGCACACTCTAGGTATCTCTCCGTATATCGTTAGTAGCTACATACGGTGAGGTACCGCTTGAAAATCGAGGACTGTTTCGCCGATGCCTTCGATATTATACTTTAATTTGACGTGTTGGTATTTTCTTGTATTTATGATTTATCATGCTAAATATCCCATCAAAATAATTTAAAGACTACATATGCGAGGTGATTGCGTGAAATTGTGGACAGCGCAATAGAGCGAAGATGCTAACTTTATAGTACAATCTACTATCATGTACAATCATACTGCAAAACGTTCCCAGCAAGACATCACGCCTGGTCCCATTAAACATATTACAAACGACGAGCAAACCACGTCACACTATATAACATCGTCGTGAGTCAACTATGAAACAGCGACATCGTTTTCCAAGTCGTTGGAGCAAACACCTGACCATCGTCTAAAACCTTATAGTAACGACACTGTAAGGCTTAATATTTCTTCAGTGTTTCATGTGGAGGCATTTCTTGCCGCTGCAGGATATGTAGTGTTTGTTTAGTACATAGTTATGGAATGTTCTACTCGTGTCTCTCAGGTGTGAGTACGATACAAATTTTAAGAAAAACAAGATATTGTTTCACCCACACATGCATCTAATGAAAATCGTTTGCGCTACCAAGCGAACATTTCGCCATGACATAGATGCAATGCGGTTTGCTGAATTCTAGCCGAGTTAAAGAAATTCACCGAAGTGTAACCGCTTTGCGGTCCATTCAACCGAAAAAATCTAACTAACGTGATTTATCGTCGTGAATGGAAAATGTCTGGTTATTGTTTGTATTTATTGTAGTTTTAACCGTCATTGATACAGGTTGGTGTGAAACTGAAAGACATATGCTGATTGCTTGTATAAATCCAATTGAACTTGATGATACCCTTTTTAGCTAATCATTGTATTCTTCAAAAGATTGGAAAAACATTAATAAAAATGAATATTTATAGTGCTGTCTCAAGTATTTACATAAACGACATAAACAGCCTCATCTTTTCATCTAAAGCTCATTTTCATTCTTTACTACTATGTAAAACCTTCACAACGTTAGAGATTCACATTGTTTCCGCAATGAAAATTTTCTAATCAATGTACTTACCTGAGCCAGTGGTATGAATTTCAATCGATCACCAAGAATTTGTGGAAGTAATTCACTGCTATATGTCCCTATTACACTCTGTACATAAACCGGCTTTTTAAGATGACGTCCGGGTTTGCCCGTTTATTACTGTTTTCCCCAGGGGTCCCAAAGGGGTAAAAAAAACCCCAAGATAATGCCCTTGAGGATCATTACGCCAAAGAAATTAAAGAAATTGACTTAATTTTAATTCCGTTGTCAGATACAAATCCTTTCCCGACTTTGTTGTTACATTACAGTAGAAATCATACACATAGACATACACCACCACGCGCGCGCGCACACACACACACACTCTCTCTCTCTCTTTGTCTGTCTGTCTCTCTATCTATCTATCTATCTATCTATCTAAGATGTAACTTAAAATGTTTTGTGTTTCGATAAGATATATATATTTCCCATCTGCGTGAGGTTGGCGCTATATATATATATAAATCATATATTCATTATTTAGTTTTAGCCTACTCGATACATTTCTTAATTGTTCTTGCTCCAAAACATGGGCGTAAACTGGACGCTCGCCTTGGCGTCGGATGTTGAGGCCATTGGTTCTGACTACTGACCAGATATCCGTACGTGAGAGATCGGCCCGTCAGTGTCTCATAACAAGAATCAGAATATATGTTACTTCAACCATGACATATATGTACCATCTGGTGGGCTTGTTGTATACCACCGTACCATCTCAGTTGCCGTAAACTAGCTTTAATCGGTGTAGTAGGAGAATTTAACACAACTGTGATATTTGAGGGACACACTTGGTAAGTTTGCTAACATCTAACATAAGGCATACTGCATTAATAAGGGTTAGCATTTATATATATATTGAAAGTAAAATTAACAAAGTGACATTCGCCCAGGCATACACTGAACGCTTGACATAATTATTAAAGGTAAGGGGACCCAAACACAACCAAGCAGATCGGTATCAGTATTTGTACCTTTAAACATTAAGAAATGCGTCAGTCATTCAAATTCCCATCTGCGCGAGGCGGGCGCGTGGTAAACCAGCGTACCATATCCGTGGTCGCAAATCTAGGATGACTGGTGTAGTATAATTTGACAACTTGACGACAAATAACAGTAATTTTCACATTTGTAATCAACAAAAGCAGCAAAACACAAACAATACAAAAAATTGTACAGAAGTGAATAGAACCTTTCAGTTACATTTTAGAATTAGATACAATTAGATGAAAAAAGGCATCATAAAGCTGTTACGTCCTTCTAGGACAGACTCGTCAGTGATGTCAAGAGCCCAACTTCTGAAGCATAGGAGGCGACTGTGGAAAATCCAATATAATCAAAGGAAATTTCAAAATCTTGACGGGGTGATGCACAAGCCATATGGCCCCAAATTAGATAAATTTCTTAAATTTGATACATCCGATAATTTTAGAACAACGTCAAGTAAATTTGTATATTCTGAACCGTGCAACAATTCGAATGAATCAAAACGGCTTGTAGGTTACGGCAGATCTTTGAGACTTAAAAGTCCAACAGCAATGTCTGTCAACTTCAATCTCAACGATTGCACAAAAGACGCACTAGTGAATAAAACCTTTCTCTAAAAATATAGAGTTAGATACAATAGAGCTAAACAATAGGCTAGATACGTTACACATCACATATCTGTTTCATCCTTCCAGGACTCGTCTTTGAACTCTTTTTTACTCTTCTTTATCTTAACAAAAACTGTATTAAGGTTTGCCGTAATTTGCAGGCCACGATCATTCGAACAGGGAAAATGTCTAGAAAATACACAAGTACTTGATGTTCTTCTAAATTAACTGCATACTTCGCAGCTTGTTCCGTTTCGGTTTTTTCCATAGTCGCTATTCAGGAATGTCAACACAGCTTCCTGTTATTGTTTCATTTAACTTCTAGATCATTAATCAAATCAGTTCGATGTTTTTGGAATATCCACTTCTGCAGCTGTGATCACGACTTTCGCTGGCAGACCGACAGTGGTCGTCAGCGAGACTGAAAGACTACTGCTGCTCAGGTTCCTGTAGGTATATGGCATTCCAGAT